GAGGAGGGAGAAGAAGCAAAAGGCAGTTCTATTTAGGGGCTAGAAAGATGGCTCAGCAGTTAAAGAGAACTTTTCTACTCTTCCAGAGGACCTAGGTTCAATCCCCAGCACCCACATAGTGGCTCACAACTGTATACAACTCAAACTCCAAGGAATCTAACATCTTTTCTGGCCTCCAGGGGCACTGCATACATGAAGTGCACAGACATCCATGCAGGCAAAACCATAGACATAAAAAAAAAAAAAAAAAAAGTTCAAGACAGTATTTTTTAAGCCAGTTCTATCTCAATACACTAGCAATAAATAATCATGAAGCTGGTTTATGTCTATAGATTAGAAGAACAATGCTGAAAAGACACCAGCCCCACACATTAGACATGTTCAAAGTTAAAACCCCAGTGCGTCTTGTGTAGTCTGTCCAGAAGACTGAATGAACATGCATGTGTGTACACACACCCGTGTGTGTGTGTGTGTGTGTGTGTGTGTGTGTGTGTGTGTGTGTGTGTGTTTTGGCATATACTTAGAGGTCAGATGATAGCTTTTAGGAATTTTTTCTCTCCTTTCACCATGGGTTCCAAAACCAGGTTATTGGGCTTGGGAGGCAAGCACTTTAACCCACCAAGCTTCTCTCTGGCCCAAGCAGATTTCATGAGCCGGATTAAGAAAATCTTAAAGAACAAAGGAAAAGAACTTAAAAATCAGATCTCAAGACAACATCTGTAGTCATCCAGACACTGTGGTATTTGTGCAAAAATAGCAAAGATAGAGCAAAAAGAGCCACCCATCCACTCCATCACTCTATCACTGAGACATAACCCAGCCAAAACTAGATTTCCTCATCAGGACACAGTATATATTACTTTGGGTTTTTTTGTTTTGTTTTGAGAGAGAGTTCACTAGGCAGCCTTGGCTAGCCTGGAACTCACTACATAGACTGGCCTCAGACTCACAGACTCACCTGCCTCTGTTTCCTGAGTGCTGGGATTAAAGATGTACACCACCAGCCTGGCCTACATGAAATATTTTTTTTAATTTTTAATTTTTTAATTTATTTATTTGTGTGTTTGTTTTATTTTTTGTTTTTTTGTTTTTCGGGGCAGGGTTTCTCTGGAGCCTGTCCTGGACCTCACTCTGTAGACCAGGCTGGCCTCGAACTCAGAGATCCTCGTGGCTCTGCCTCCCAAGTGCTGGGATTAAAGGTGTGCGCCACCACCACCCGGCTCTTTTTTTTTTTTTTTTAAATTACTTATTTCTATATGTATGGATATTTTGCCTGTATGTATGTCTATGTACCACCTGTGTGCCTGGTATCCTTGAAGGCCAGAGGAGGGCATCAGATCTCCTGGAACTGGAGTTATAGAAAGTCATGAGCTTCTCTGTGGGTGCTGGGAATTGAACCCAGGTCCTCTGGCATAGCAGCTAGTGCTCTTAACCATTGAACCATCTCTCTAGCCCCTACATTAAATATTCTTGGGCTGAAGAGATGGCTCAGCTGTTAAAGGACAGACTAACAACCAAAAATAAATATTCTGGGGGTGGGGGAATCAACCATTGAACTACATTAAAATTTAAAACTTTTCCTCATAAAAAGATACTACTACCCGGGCGGTGGTGGCGTACGCCTTTAATCCCAGCACTCGGGAGGCAGAGCCAGGAGGATCTCTCTGAGTTCGAGACCAGCCTGGTCTACAGAGCGAGATCCAGGACAGGCACCAAAACTACACAGAGAAACCCCATCTCCAAAACAACAAAACAAAAACAAACAAACAAACAAACAAAAAAGATACTACTGAGCTGGACATGGTAGGCACCTGAAATTCCAGCACTCAAGAGTCTGAGGCAGGATGATCAAAGTTGTAGGTTAGCCTGGAATACATGGCAAGATCTGTATATATGAATGTCTGTGAACATCTGTGTCTACATATATATGCAATACTACAAAGTGAAAAGGCAAACACAAGAGTATAAAAACAACCTTTCAGGCTGGGAAGATAGCTCAGTGGGTAAAGTACACAAGCACCCAAGTAAAAGCCAGGTGTGGCAGCTATGCCTGTAAAGTAGACAAAGGATGGAAAGATGGCTAAGCATATGGGTAAGAGCACCTGCTGCTCTTGCAGAGGACCAGGTTCAGTTTCCACCACCCACAAGGTAGTTCACAACTGTCTGAAACTCCAGCTCCAGAGAATCCAATGCTTCTTATCTCTGCAGGCTCCTGCACACACACATACATACATTCAGGCACACACGCATAGAAGATAAAATAAATACTAAAAAACTAGTAAGGTTGAGAGCAGTCAAGGAAGACACCCAACATCAAACTCTGGCTTCAACACAGATGTGCAGATGTGTATAAGCACCTGCATACAAACATATGCACATACAGGAACACACATGAACCTATACACATACACAAAAAAATTAATTAAAAAAATCATCTAGCCAGGCATGGTTGTGCATGCCCTTCTTTCCAGCACTTAGGTGGCCTAGACAGGCCGATTTCTGTGAGTTTGGGGCCAGCCTTACTTACATAGTGAGTTCCAGGACAGCCAGGGCTATGTAGAAAGACCCTGTCCCAAAACAAACAAAATTCTTCTATACATCTATGCTCTCAGAATGTATAAAGAACTTCAAATTAGAAACAGACAATCCAAGCCAGGCGGTGGTGGCGCACACCTTTAATCCCAGCACTCAGGAGGCAGAGCCAGGCGGATCTCTGTGAGTTCAAGGCCGGCCTGAACTACAGAGTGAGTTCCAGGAAAGGCACAAAGCTACATAGAGAAACCCTGTCTCGGAAAACCAAAACAAACAAACAAAACAAAAATAGAAACAGACAATCCAATCAACAAATAGAAAAAAGAGTCGCTGCGCTGCAGGCGGCTGCAGTCAGGAAGCCACCTCTCCACATGGAACTTTGGAGCATATAACAACGGCTCTCATACTGCTGGTGGCAGTGTGGTTGTACCAACTGTCACCATAGCCACTTTTGGCAGCAATTCCTGAGGCTGCTGTCACTACAATTCCACTCCTTAGAATACTCCAGCAGAAACACACACACATCCAGTTCTGCACCTCCCCAAATGTAAATGCAGCCTGGGAAGTTTAAGACCAGTGGCAGCCTCAGGGGTCTTGACTGCAACAAGAACAAGTAGGACCCATCTACACAGCACACTTTAGAGAAAGCAAAGGTGGGTCTCGCAGAGTTCTGGGAAGAGTCAAAACAAAACATGCAGATTTCCTATAGAAAGTTAAGCATATGCAAAGGAATCAATAGTGAAGAGCTGGCCCAATTAGAATGGTGGGACAGTCACTGATTGCAGACAGTAGGAAGGGGTTTTCATAGGAGGTATGGTCCTGTCCATCTCTTGATCCAAGCACAGCTCCACGAGCATAACTGTGACTTGTAGGTCCTCATGCATGTTCCAGTTTAAGTACACTGACTGGACACATATGCCCGTCTGGTCACATTTTTAGCCACCAGAGGACCCTGATTCCAGGAAGAGAATGGTCTGAATTAAGTTTACTCTATGACACTAGGCTCTGACATAACTGTGGGCACCAGCAAGTCCTAATTCAATGAGGCAGTATAGAGCAGCAGCCAGCAAGCACCCCCTAGCAAATGCAACACTTGCTGCCTGAAACCCACTGCCCACAACACCCGTCAGTCCTGTGTCCCCAGTGCCTGCTCTTTCCAAAAACCTAAGTGTTGGCCAAACATTGCTACACACAGACCTGAGCTGCAACAAACACAACTGCAAAGCAGAGCAAGTGGAACTCACAGCATCTTGAAAGCCTCTTCAGCACGTGGCAACAAAATCTGACCTAATTAACCCACTGCTTCTGAAGACTCCAGGAAGAAATTATTCTCTAGCCCCCAAACAAAAACTCTCAGCACACAACACTAACACAAAATTATTGTTTCTAAAAAGGACATTCAAACGTTTAGTCCAATCTTACAGAACTGACTACAGCCAAAGATGCATCAAGGCAGTGATTATTCACTTGCACACTCATCTCTGCAGACCCACCGTGAGAGCGTAAGTGCAGCTTCCTTGAGCACCATGAAGATACCCATCATGATGAGCAAATTGGGCTTGTCAGCACAAAGCTAAGCAGCCCCTGCTCCGTAGGCCTTTCACCTTGGGCTTTACTGGCTGTCGAGCTTTTTCCTTCCCTACCACTGACTCCGGAAGAGAAGGCTCTAGCACACCAGTCCAGAAGTGATACTAAAGACACACAAGGTGTTTCAAGCTTGAAAGTCTCACCTGCCCACGAAGAGGAGCCTTGGGATTCAAAGTTCAATCTTTTCTCCCCTGAAACAAAGTTTCATTAAAGCTCATGGATGTTCTCAAGAAAGCCTGTGAAGACTTTACCAATGAGATCAGTCCTATTTATCCACGAGATTTCCCCCCCAGGAAATTGAAAATCCGTAAGACATAAACCAGGGGTAAAAGACATGAAATTCCTGAGATCCAGGACTCACTGGTCCACAGCAGGGAAAGACAAGTCTAAGACACAACAGGAAACTCAACACAGCTCAACTGCTTCACAGTCCCCTGTCAAAAACTTTGAAGCATAGCCAGGTGCTGGTGATGCATGCCTTTAAACACAGCACTTGGGAGGCAGAGGCAGGCGGATCTCTGAGTTTGAGGCCAGTCTGGTCTACAGAATGAGTTCCAGGACAACTTAGGCTACACAGAGAAACTGTCTCAAAAACCAAACCAAAACAGCAACAACAAAAACACAACTTTGAAACGCTTTCCCAAATCTAGGCAGTTACCCAAAGAGGCACGACAGTACAGCACTGTGTTCACATCGCTTTGGAGAATACCGATTTATTCCCAAGCTGAATTCCTGGGAATTTTACCTGTTCTTAGAAAACCCCACAAACATCATTTCCTAAGTGGTTACACAAAACAGCCAGCAAGTTAACACATTAACAAGATCATCCCACAGACATTTAGTGACAGACACCTTGGTTACAGTTTGGTTGGTTAGCATACCTGTGGAAGTGCAGTGTTGAGCTGCCTCTGCAAGGAATCTCTTTCATGACCAACCTCGTGCAATTTCCCCTGGGTTAACGCCAATGTTTCTTGTGTCTCTCTCAGTGTGTCCAGAAGGCGGTCTCTTTCCTCCAGCATGGAGACCATGAGCTGCTCAAAATGTGAATCAGCGTCTGGCTGTGAAGGGGAGCCTGACCCATGGCTCCCACCTCCTCCTGGGGGGCCTTCTGCTTCACTAATGGTCGGCATCACTTCGCACATCATCTTGAAACAGGAAAAATGCAGACAACAGTCAGTAGGTGCGGAACACCTGTGGCTGATGAGCCAAAAGGCTGACAGCCCCACACTGTCAGAGCTGCTCCACTTTGGATGCACACATTCTGGGAAGTAGCATGCACAGACCAACAAGAACAGACGGGGGATACTACAGACTCAAGAGTAAGGGGAGCTGGAATGCTCACCTCTCCCATCCAGGCCAAACCAGTGGAGTTTATTGAAAACCCGCACTCTCAGCAGCTGAAGACAGTGGGCTTCTGTTAACTTATTTTGTTCTTCCCCAGGAAGAGAGATTCAAAACATATTCCCTCAACCACAGAAGAAGACTGAAAACTGACGAGCACCAGCGCAACGGACCAAAGCATCTTCCAGGAATGTGTGCAGTCAGCTCCTGGGAAGGACTGCCGGGCTCCCTGACTTGTGGGGCTGGATATTTGGTGAGCAGCGGAAAAAGCAACTGGATTGGCTCTTTAAGGCCTGGACAGAGGTGTTTCTGCAAAGGCCTGCTGCTGTGCAACGGTTGGTCAGCCAAGCTAACTTACATAAGTTTACAGCCAAAGAGGGGGGCAAGGAACAGAGTTTCCACACTGAGAATCTAGGAAGTCGGGACAGCAAGGCTAGGTAAGAAAGGAGAAGGGAAAGGTGAGATGGCACTAGAGATTGCCAGGGCACAGGGAGAGGGATGAAGGGGATGCACTGCAGGTGCACCTGACCATGCCGGGATGATCTTGCCGACCAGGACCCCGTTGGTCCTGCCTGGTTCAATTGACCCCAGCCTCACTACCCCCAACCCCGCTGACCCTGGCCAATTTAAGCTGACTCGGACATAAGTGATATCAACCGGGCTTGGCTGACCCCGGGTCGACCAAGCTAACCCCAAGCCTGCTGACTCCGCTGACCCCCGCCCGCTGACCCCGCCGACCCGGCCCCACCGACCCCGGTCCGCCACTCTGCGCGGCCCGCTCCGCCCGCCCTCACCTTGGCCGGCGGGCGCGGCTCCGGGGCTACGCGGCAGCCTTCGGGCGGCGGCCGGCTGCGGGCCGACCCACGCAGCCCCTCGGCTGCGTCCTCGCCCGGCCCCCGGGCCCGCCGCCCCGCTCGTCACGAAGGCCGGCCCGCCGCTGCGGGACACTGGCGAGCGCAGAGGACCGGGCCCGGCGCGTCGCCGGCGTCAACGTGCCCGACGTCCGGCGCGTCGGCGCGAGCGTCAGCACCGCCCCCTGAGGGAGAGGTCGGCCGTGGGGCTATGCGCATGCGTCAGCTTCTCGGTAGTGGGCGGGCGGTCTTTCCCGAACGCCAATTGGCTATTTCTCTCTTTAGCCGCGCCCTCCACTCCGCCCCCCAGCAAGGCCAAGCTCCGCCCAGGTAGGGCGGCCTGTGGCGCCACAGGTAAAGAGCTCTGGCAGGTGCCCGCAGCTTGCCCACCTGCTTTCCCTGCTGTCACTCCAGCGCGTGCGCTGACGTCACCCGAAAGCCACCGTCACCCTAGTGCCCACTCTCAGACCCAAGACTCCTGCTGAATCTCGGAGTCGCGCCGGCCACCTGCAGAACCAAAAAGTGCTGACAGACCTGGCAAGGTGCCTGCCTCGAGCCTGTAGGCCTAGACTTCGGAAGTCTGAGGCAGGAGGATTGCCTCAAGTTGGAGGACCTGTCTCTAAAACACAAACAAAGGCGACTGCCATCAACCCTGACGACTGAGTTTGATCTCCAGGACCCAGAAGACCTGCATTAGATCCTTGGAACCCACATGGTCCTGAATGTTGTCCTCTGACCTACACACGTCTCGTGACTCCCATGCATGCAAACAAAAAAATGTAAGGACTCAGCCATCCTTGCAAGTATGAGAACCTGAGTTCCACTCCCAGAATCCACATGAAAATAAAAAGCCAGCCGGCCTTGATACTGCACACCTTTATTCCCAGCACTCAGGAAGCAGAGGCAGGCAGATCTCTGTGACGTCAAGGCCAGCCTAGTCTACGTACTGAGTTCCAGACCAGCCAGGGTTAGTGAAATCTTGTCTGAAAAAAAAAGAAAGAAAACGAAAAAGAAAAAAATTAACCGCAACTGAAAAGCCAATGAAGTTTTCTGAAGGCCAAGGCAGAAGGACTGTCAACTATCCTGAGCTACATAGAGAAAACCAAGCCAGTCAGGGTTACATGGCCAGATCCCTATCTCAAGAGATCAATAATTAATTAAAAAATCAAGTTGTGGCCCAGGCATGGTGGTGCACACCTTAAATCCTAGCACTCAGAAAGCAGAGCCAGGCAGATCTCTGAGTTTAAAGTTAGTCTGGCTTATATAGTGAGACCCTGTTAAAAAAAAAACAGATTATAAATAGGAGCATTAAGTTCTCTGAGGGGCTCTCCCAGTACCATCAGCCACTGCACACAAGTCCTCAGTTGCCTTGATCTTGGGTTTGGATTTGAGAAAATACACATTTATCCCCAGAGATCCTGCTGATGCATCCGTCTCCTAAGAAATTGGCCCAGTACCAAATGCAGTTCATCAGGGCACATTGCACTCCGTCCCCTCCCACATTCATGCATATGTGAAGCTGGCTTGGCTGAAAGCTAAAGAAAATAACGCTTCTCCAACGAGTTCCACAAGCTGAGAGATTTTAGCTGCTGCAGCAAGCCGTGCATGCTTCACATAATGTGTGAGTGGTGAGGTGTGACCACAGAGGAAACTGGGGTCTTGATGGAGCTGCACAGAGGAGATGCCATCCAGCTGGTCCCTGATGCTCAGAGGTTCTTCCTCAGGTTTTTGGGCTGTGGAAATCCTGGTCCCTGCTGATTTGCACCCATTACTACAGACCACAAATCAACAGAGACGGCTGTGAAGAACAGAGGCTGCAGGGCCATTGCCCCTCTGGATCATAGAGATGTCACTGGCATTCACAGTGTTTTGTTTGTTTGAATTTTTATCACATGTATTTGTCTGTGATGAGTGTTATCTATGTGTCTGATATGTCAGCACAGGTACATGATACAACATGCATAGAGGCCGAGGGCAACATGCAGGATTCATTTCCCTCTTCCCACCAGTTGGGTCCCAAGGGTCAAACTCAGGTCATCAGATTTGGTAGCAAGTGTTCTTACCTGCTGAACCATCTCACTGGCCTGCATTTTATTTAAGAGGCAAGAGCTCTTTGAGACAGACTAGTGTGTAACTCTCCAGGCTTCTGTCTCTGCCTCACGCGAGTGCTGGGATGACAGGCATGTGCTATCACACATGCTATCACCTTGGGCCCCTCTTTTATGTATCTTTATTCCACGTGTTCGGGTGTTTGCCTGTATGTATGTATGTATGTGCACTATGTGCATGTTTGATGCATGCAAAGGCCATAAGAGTTCTTTGGAACCTGTGGAATTAGAGTTACATACAGTTGCAAGCCACCATTCAAGTATGGGTAATGGAACTAGAGTCCTCTGCAAGAGCAGCAAATGCCCTTAACCACTGAGCTATCTCTCCAGCTTTACCATTCCATCACCCTTTTTTTTTAAGAAGAGGTCTCACATAGTCCAGGCTGGCTGAAAATTCACTATGTAGCAGAGGCTAGCCTTGAACTCCTGATAAATCTCACAAGTGTTTGAGGATAACCAGTCACCACCACCACACCCATCATGTGGCTTCTCATTACACAGCTGAGGAGGCAGGTCCAAGGAGCTGCTAAAACAAAAAGGTCCATGGCCTGAGGGTCTTGAGTCCTGAGGCGGTTCCTTCTGCCTGGGTTACACAAGTTATTGAAACCTTGCCCAAGGGTAAGCCTGCTGCTCTTCCTTGTTGGGAATGTGGTCTGTTTGGGCTGATCTGAGAACACAGATACCTCTGGATAGAGTAATAATGAAACCAAATTTGGGGCTAAAGAGGCAATTCAGTCAGTAAAGGGCTTGCTGAGCAAGGGTGAGGACATGAGATCCATCCCCAGAACCCCCACAAAAACCTGGGCGTGGCAGTGCATCCAGGTAATCCCAGCCCGAGGAGTGGAGACACAAGGATCCCTGGGGCTTGTGGCCAGCCAGAGAACAAGGCAAAAGGCATTCCTGAGGATGACACCTATACATGTGTACATACACACATGGAAGTCACATGTGCAGAGCAACATCCCAAGAATCCTGCACCCCTCCTCACAACTCCTAGACATATGACACTTAGAGAGATTAGAGAATCCCATGCCTCCAGCAGATGAGTGTAGAATCCAAGCCGTGGCCATTCTCTCTCTCTCTCTCTCTCTCTCTCTCTCTCTCTCTCTCTCTCTCTCTCTCTCTCTCTCTCTCTCATTTTTCTTGAGACAGAGTCTCACTGTCTAGCCCTGGCTGACCTGGAACTCACTATGTAGACCAGGCTGGCCTCGAACTCACAGAGATCTGCCAGGCTCTGCCTCCCAAGTGCTGGGATTAAAGGTGTGTACCACCACACCCAGCTGTGACCAAAATTCTTGTTGCTGCACAGTGAGAGTTCTCTAGTCCTCACAGCATGGGCCACTCACTAATGGGACTCTCATTGCTCCTCAAGGCTCCATGAGTTGACATAATCCTCAGATCCCAGCATAGGGCCAGATGCAGGGAAGAAACATACTAGCCTCACCTACATGTATCTTTATGTTAGAAAAGCAAGCCATCATGGCTGGAGAGACAGCTCAGAGGTTAAGAGCACCAGCTGCTCTTCTAGAGGACTGAGTTGGATTCCCAGCACCCACATAGAAGCTCACAACCATGTACAACTCCAATTCCAGGGGATTTGATGCCCTCTTCAGACATCCAAGAATACCAAGCACACATGTGATACACAGGCATACATGCATACAAAACATACCTACACATTAAATAATGGGGGGCAGGTTTGAGACAAGGTTTGTCTGTGTAGTTCTGGCTGTCCTGGAACTTACTCTGTAGACTAAGCTGGCCTTGAACTCAAAGATCTGCCTAAAAAAGACTCAAAGACTAAAAATTTGTGCCACTACACCTAACTAAATAAAAATTTAATCTAGAAAGAAAGCAAGCCATCACCTGGTGCAGCTTGCTAGTATTGTGTTCAGCAGACAGCCATCTAATAAAAACACCCCCATTACAGGGACCAGAGAAGTAGCTGAACCTCTTAGAGGTGTCAGCCCATCCCAGTTCTTAACTTCACCTTGACCCAGGAGCAAGGCTCTAACCTACACTCAGTGCCAAATCTCCCCATCTGTCTGATGGAGATAATGACACTAGAATCCCACACTGCGGTGTTCACTGTGACATTTGGTGAAGGTGGGGCCCTTGTAGCTGGCTTCCTGCCTGGCCACCTAAATTACTTCCTTTCCACCAGGTAGTTACATATGCAAAGGCTGGAGCTGGCTGGCCAGGCTCTGGATCGCTTCTGCTTCTTTTGGCCATAGCTGTGTATTCTGGAGCAAGTTGCTTGGCCCCTCTGAACCCCAAGCTCCTGGTCTGTAAAGCAGAGGTGACCATCTCAGATTGCTGGGAGGGCTGAGTTAAGTGCTCAAGGCTAGGGGTTTCTCAGATGGACTACTGGCCAACTCTCCATCCCCAAGGGAGTGAGAATTGAGGTCAGTCAGCTAGCATCTTGCTTCCCTTTGCCCTATAATCTGGGAATTGGCCTGGGTGGCTGCTTCTCGTCAATGAGATGTGAGGTAAACGACATGGAGTATTCTGGAATTATCTTTCCTGACAAAAAGAGAGAAGTACAAAGCCTGTGGACTCTATGCTTTCCTTCTTCTTTAGGACCCTCTTTGAAGGCTGTTCAGTGGCAGCCATTTTGAGAGCACAAAGGGAAAATAT